GGGGGGGGGGGGGGGGTACCAAGAGGAGGAGAGGGAGGTCCTCTCCGAATTCTAGAGCGTCGACGAAATGAGATGAAATCAGCGAGAGACAAGAGGAGAAAGAGTCCAAGGGGGGGCGAAAGAAACATTTCAAGAGGCTATTTGGCCAGCCTCCCCTGCCAGGTAGATCAACCCTGGACCGTTTTAATCTTAGAACAGTATCTTCCACCACTAGAATCACAGTACCGTCACCGTCATCCGCCACTGTCACTGTACCACTGGGCACCAATACTGTTACCGGCACCATCATCGTCATCGCGCCCTGGTACAGAACAAGAGGAAGAAGAAGAAGAAGAAGAAAAAGGAAGGAAAGAGACACGTTTAAATTGCTCTCTCGCTGCTCAACTAACAATAAGTTTCGGGCATGAGTTCACGTTCGAAAGAACGAAACACCCGTGGGTAAGAAGGAAACTACGTTTTTACTGGGTTGTTGTCCGTGCTAATGCCGCCGCAGGGGAAGCAGGGGGTCTCCTCTGCTAGCACAAATTTCGCCCCACCTTCGACACACGCGAAGCACAGACGAGAAACGCAATCATGGCCGACCCGTATACGAGAGGATTACGTAACGTCGTTACGTGGGTATATGCTCCTTGTTCTATCGTAGCGAACAGTCCGGCACTGTCCTGGGTATCGGATAGCGAGGAGGGTCTTGCGGAGAAAATGCACGGAATGCATTCAATCTGCGTTTGAAATTTACGGATCGATAGGCAAATTCAAATTAAATGGTTACGCAATGTGCTCCGTTGCTTCCTTTACATGGTTTCGATAATTTTATAGAATTAGTCTTCCAGAAACACCTGTTGGTAACTTTATGTGTTTCTCGTGTGGGAATCAGGATGTTCTCTACTTACACGGACTGGAGCCATACGTGATTCTTGACGAAGTGTGGCACCTAGTAGAGTAGACCGCTTAGCGTCGGACATTCTTGAACGCTACTATCCACTTGAGTTAGTCACTGTGAGAAACGGTTAAAATTAAAGTTTTATTTTTATTTTCACCGTTCACAATTTCTCGTCTCGTAACGCGTACCGAGGAAGAAAATTTAAAAAAAATTGTACCGTCGAAGAATCCAAGATTTACGGGCGAGTCGGACGAGTGACAACGACGAGGGTCGAGGGTTAAAGGTTAAGAAAAATGTATCTAGGAGCAGCCGTAGCCAGGTCGTCCTGCTCCAAGAAATGGCAGACAAGGGTTTAGCTGGATTCCGGACTGTTTCCTCAGTGGTGATCCTGCCCTGCCCCCTCCACAGCGCCCACCTCCCATTCCAGTGTACCAGTCGAGAAGCGTGCCAGGGGGATGTAGTGACGTCAGAGCGAGCACCCCCCGCCCCCTCCGCGACGACCTAGCCAACCCCTAGTCGCTTCTCCCGGAAATCGACGATAGGGGAGAGAAAGGCTACCTACCCACCTAGCCATCCGCCTACGTATCTAGAACCTAGCAGCGACCTATCTAGACCATCATCCAGTCGATACAGGTGAAACGGCTGTTCCGGGATCTCGAATTTCCAGGCAGACCTGTGGTCCATTGTTGTCAAGCGTTCCGAACGGTCCAAGACCACGAGGAATTACGTTACCGAAGATCATTATAGACACGAGCGAAAATTCCAATAGATTGCTCCTTAAGAAATCCACTAGGAGTTACTTTACCTGGCTACGTGTACTTAACGGAAGGTCGAAATAGACTGAATAGAAATGCCGATTTCTATATACGTGCTCCAATAGAACACACGATGTACGTGGAGGTTGCACTGTGACCTTCGGGAAGTTGAAGTAGGTGCAGGAGGGTTGGCGGGGTGGATCCGGGTAGAAATTCAAGAGAGCTTGGAGCGAGGTTGACCCAGAGTGCGCTTTCATCAAGTAACAAGGAGTGTAAAGGGTAGCGAGTAAGTCCTCGAGGGACAATGGGAAAAAAGCAATTAAGGTTACAACGCTAAAACCGATCGATTGGAATAATCGAAAAAAGACAAAACTGGCTCAGCGTCAACATTCGAATGCCCAAAGTCGTTCCTGGGATCAAAAAGAAAGTAAAGACTAATTAGCACGCAATCATTGAGCACTTGATAGCACATTAACGACTCCAGGGCCGCGTTGAATTTCATTGAGAACAAAGAAGATCTCCAGGTCAGTGGTTAAGGCTCATAGCAGGGTGCAGTTCCGGCTGATGACGTCAGGGGTTGACCCAATTGCGCCTAGGGTAAGCATCCCTGACCTTTTCCCCGGGGAAAATCGGACAGTCAGGTCGTGGGTGACGCTGAGCGAGCGAGAGCCAGAGGAGCCAATCCAACCATCAGGATGCTGGGCTCTCTGGTCCGGGAGGCATTAGGTTGGTAGGTAGGTAGGCTGCTGCTACTCTGGGTTTAGTATAGGTGGGGCACGACCGACCACCAGGTGAGGTGTACAGAGGATACAGCGAAACTAGGTCACCCCTGGGAGAGGGAGTGGGAACCTGGCTCGAGTCCGGGAACTCGGGAAGCAGTATGAGCCCCTTTCGAAATTCATCCACGCTCAATTTATATATATATATATATATATATATGCCTACCTAGATACGTCATATACGTGTATATATGCACATGGGTGACCTTTTCACGAAAATTTACATATATCCATACATATACCTATATTCCATCCTCCAACATAGTCGCTGCTGAACGGAACGAGATTGCGAGGAGTAAAAAAAAGGTCGAAAAATCCATATCGAACGGAAGCGAGGGGATAGATCGGATTAGCGGTGAATTCGAAATCATCCCCTCCCCTTCCTCTCTACGTGCCCTTCCCCTCTAACCAACAAACTTTCTTCCGCTTGTAGTCTCCAGTAAACATACCGTTCGATCTCCACCCTGGGACACGTCCAGGCAATGAGGAGCTCGGATCATTAGGTGCTATTCCAAAGAGAGAGTCGTATTCCGAGTGCTTAAGGATTTTGATAATTAGCTGTGCCTCGGTAACGATAGAGTTCATTAAGGTGGATTCCTACTGAGCTTTGAATCTTCCGATAGCAAGAGACACGTATTTGTGCATCGTCATGTCTCCGATGCACGTGGCAGCTATGCGAAGCTAAGGTTGCGGGTCACGCGAGAAGTCACGCTCGAGCGACGAGGGGCGTCGCGACGTTTCGCGAAGGCGTAAATAATTTAAGGAGGTGGGGCAAGTGAGAGAGAAGAAGTGAATAGGGGAAGAAGAGAGAGAGAGAGAGAGAGAGAGAGAGAGAGAGAGAGAGAGAGAGAGAGAGAGAGAGAGAGAGGGGAGGGAGGGGATAGGGAAGAAAGGAAGGAAGGAAGGAAGGAAGGAAGGAAGGAAGGGAGAAGAAAGACATCGTTTGATTACATACGCAAGTAGTAGAGAGTGAAGGCGACTTCACAAGGAAACGATATAATCGCAGCTCGATAATAATTCGTGACTCGTTACGTGAGCTCGGTCAGATTGTTTTCGCGTGACGTGTAGCATTCGATACGTGTATACCGTACAGGCCTGACATCATCCGTCGCTCAACGTGGACCAAGAGACAGTCTTTAGAAGAATAACATTCCCAAGTCAATATACGCATTCGTTGTATACAACGTGTCGCGAGTCGTTACGATAATCTCGATGGAGAAACAGTTCGAGTTTTCATCGTTTGGGAGAAAATAACTTGTTTTTGGCGAACAAATTTTAATGACAAACATTTTTTTATTTTGGTACGCACCCACAAACGCATTCTGATTCTGTACTCCGGCAAAAGAGACTTTCGGGAATGGAATATATAGTGCTCTCTCTCTCTCTCTCTCTCTTTCTCTGAGCATGGCCCTGAACCAATATCAGCTAATGCGTACCAACGCGAACGCTATACAAGGGACCCCCTTTTATTCGTACGCTGGCAGCGCTGTTCCACCCACGAAAGAATTGCGCACTCGTTTTACGTGGGTCCGTACACGGTTCCTCGGGCTATTATAAACGGTGAGAGGCACGCAAAGTGTGACTCCGCGTATTCCGACGTATTTCGTTTGCTGGCTACGCTACTTTATATCACCTGTGATTTGAGAAGGCGTACAAAGAAAAGTGAGTCTCGCAAGATGCATAGGGACAAAGAAATGAGAAGTGAAAAATTAAGAGGAAGGAAGGAAGTAGAGAAAAGAAAAGAAAAATATATAGAGGGGAGACGCGCGCGGCTGCAGGCTAAAACGGATCAGCTGTTAGTGAACGTGCATTGCGTAAGGCAGTTACGTGATGCAGAGCGCGTTATTAACTTCCTTCTGGGTGGCACTCGTCTTTACGTATATATATACATTTTTAACCATGTACACGTCTAACGTAACATACGCGAAGCTTCTAAGTACAAGGCTACCTCACGTGTCTCGCAGAACAGTGCCGTGCCTGGGTCAAAACGTGCCCCGCGCCATTGCACGAATGCAAACAAGTCTTCTCATACATATTTCTTCCTCCTTCGTGTCTCTTCGGCTAGACGGAAGACTTCTAAGCGCTCCTATAATATTACAGGAAATCACATATACAGAAGGTGGTAGACACGAGTCGCGGCAAAGTACATAATAATATTCGAGTAGCGTAAATTTCGTGGATCATTTTTTCCGTTATACGTTTCATAGAGGATGGAGCGGGTGAAGGAAATGGAAAGAGGAATAGAATAGAAGGGGGATGAGGATATTTTGCAAAAAGCTGCCAAAAATTCATGCTGCAATTTTCCGCTCGGTCTTACGTAATCCAACGAGCCTTAACGCTAGCTAATCCAATGCGACGCAATGAATTTTTTCTCCCTCCCCCCCCCCACCCCC